GAACATGATTGCACAAGGGTTTTCTAATCATCAATTAGCCTTCTGAGCCAATGAGCAAACACATTGTACCATTAGAACACTGGAGTGATAGTTGCTGGAAATGGGCCTCTATACACCTATGTACTGTATTGCACCAAAAACCAGACATTTGCAGCTAGAATAGTCATTTACCACATAAGCAATGTATAGAGTGTATTTCTTTAAAGTTAAGACTAGTTTAAAGTTATCTTCATTGAAAAGTACAGTGCTTTTCCTTCAAAAATAAGGAAATTTCAATGTGACCCCAAACTTTTGAACGGTAGTGTATATTGTGATATCAAAGTTTTGAGAAGGTATACACTTATCAAGAATAAATCATATTGTCACACTCATTTCATAAGAAGAGGTAAAAATATATTTTGTTCCAACTTGATGGGCGACAGTGCTTTAGAAAATGTCAATAGTAGCTGATGCAGAGGGTTTGGCCACAAGTTCTGATGTTAAGCTTAGGATGCATGTCTGTGAGGGTCCTCCAAAAAATAGCAATGTCTTTGTGTGATGTGTGTTTGCATGTATGTGTATATTTGTTTAGGTCAGGTGAAGCAGACATGGCAGCAATATATTATGAGAAAATAGATGTGGAGGGCCACCACTTTGGCCCAAACTCTCATCAGGTCAGAACAGCTGTGCGACAACTGGATCTTGCCATGCAGACCCTGAACAACAAAATCAAAGTAATACCACTACTGTTATTACAATTACAACAATTTTTCCCTGTCATGCAGTTTATTTTCATGCATTCGTGTTGCTTGTGATATCTTTGCAGGAAACAAACATGGCAAACCAACTGAACGTCGTATTATTTTCTGATCATGGCATGACAACAATCCAGTGGATGGAAAAGGTCATCGAGCTTGACAAATACATCAGCATGTCGGACATCGTCAAGATGATGGACCGAGGACCAGTGGTCAATCTGTGGCCCCATGATCAAAAGTACCAAAAGGTGAAAACACAATCCAGCCATTATCTGTATGCCGCTTTATCCTCACTAGGGTAGTGGGGGGGCTGGAGTCTATCTCAGCTGACTCAGGGTGAAGGCAGGGGACACCCTGGACAGGTAACCAGTTTATCACAGGACTACACTTAGAGACAGACAACCAAGCACACTCACATTCACACCTACGGACAATTTACAATCACCAGTTAACCTCAACATGTGTCTGGACTGTGGAACTCCACGCAGAAAGATCCCGAACCGGCGTCCTTCTAGCTGCGAGGTGACGGTGCTAACCACAGAGTCACCCTGCAGCCCCTGAAAACAAAATCATTTTCTTCTTTTCGTTGAATAACAAAGTCAGACAGAAGAATGAAATAATTCATACATGCTGATTCCTTCACACTGTTCTTGCTTCATACTAAGTCTGATGTATCAGCTACTTTATCCCACATCATGTCATGTGACTATGAGTCTGTATTAACTATTGCTTTTTTGTTTTGTATAATAAAGTGAACACCAGAAAAAATGCCACAGCTTTGGGCGTCTGCAGAGGTAGAAGAACCCAGCCCCAAAAGCAAAGAGTTGGGGCTGGTTTGGTTCTTGGCTGAAGCCCTTTGGAAGGCTCAGGTTCTTGTTACCTGTAATGACTGGTTGGTCAGGACGCCTGTGTGGATAGTTTTATGAACCTATTGATCTGGTGCCCTCCTGTGAAAAGATTTTAAGTGTTCATGTCTGTAAAGATTCTCAGTCCTCCAGGTCATGGTTATTCTCGTAGATTAATCGTAGCAGTTCCCAACTAGTCAGTCAGAACTGACGAAGCCTCTTGGATGAGAGGTGGAGCGTCTTCAAGGAACTCAAGCAAGTCCAGTTGCTAGGATTAATCTACGAGAATTTTAGATGTTCATACACGTCTGTAGACAAACCTTTTTTATGAAGTTTTAGGTAAAGACCCAAATCAAAATGAACAATGCAGTGGACAGTGGAATCATTAAAGACTGAACACATGGGATTATACATTAACTGATTATATAAACCAGACTCAAAGTTGCCTAATGTCACATGTGACTCCATTGATAGAGGGATCACCTACTGGGCACCATTTGGTTTGGCTGATACTGTCTGCTGAAACAGCTTTTTTGTGCATGCATGTTCTAATATACACTCTTGGTGCAACTTAAGACACATCATCAGTGTTGGATCCTGGGTTCACTGGGTGTTTCGGGTCTCACAACAGACACCCTCACCCAGGCGACCCAGCCGGGGTGATCAAGTCCCGGCTTGTGTCTTAAGAGCATGTGTGGTCCACGGATCGCCCCGCTTGATCCACAGCCATCTGGACGCCTTTTCTGCTGCATCAGTGATGTTTTGATGGCTTTCCTGTTCTGCAGTCCTTTCACTCCAAGCATCTTGAGTGCCCTGATAAGAGACTGGCCAGCGAATCCTCTGCACCCGACCTCGATGGGGTTGCATCGGGTCCTCCATCCTCTGCTTCGGCA